GCTAACCAGAAGGCTGGTGGTTCAAATCTACCAGCCACTCCTCGGAAGGAAGGTTGGACAATCTACTTCCATAGTGATACCACCTCAGAAACCCCAGGAAGGGTTGCTATGAGTTGGGTCCGACTTGACAGTACATAACAACAACAACAACAGAGGACATTACACTGGGTGAAATTAGACAATCACAAAAAGACAAATATTGTATGAGACCACTATTGTAAAAAGTCAAACGAAAGTTTACACAAAGAAAGAAACATTCTTTGAAGGTTACCAGGGGTGGGAGGGAAAGAGAGGGTAAACCAGTAATGAGAGGGTAGACAAGTATTAACTTGGGTGAAGGGAATGGCAATATACAATAAGCAGAATTTCCACATAAAATGATCAACATGAATGAAGACATTGGAAGGAGCACAAGAGTTAAAAGCAACAGAGGTAAATACCATTATAGACAGAATTCTGCAATAAGAGTAATAAAAATAATGTAGGAATGCATAGATAGATAGACACTAAAGGTGAACAGAGTGGGAAGGTGAATGGGACTACATCCAGGAACATATAGGTTTGACAGAGGATATTTCTACACACACATTTACATATGCTACAAATATATCTATGAGTATATTAGAGCATATGGGGTAAAGCTATGAAAACTTCTTAGTGATAACCAAACACCTTCAGGGAATGAGTTGCTAGGCCTCGGGTCTCAGGACCATAGACACCAAGGTCAATTGGCATAATGTAGTCCTCAAGGCAAACGTTCTACATCCTTCTTTGGTGAGTAGTGACTGGGATCTTAAAACCTTGTGAGTAGCCATCTAAGGTAGCTTCTATCCAGACAGAGCAAAGAAGAGTGAAGAAAATCAAGCACTCAAGGAAACAATTAGTCCAAAGGACTAATGGACCATGTGAATCCCAACTTCCATGGTTCTGAGACCAGAAGAGCTATATGGTACCTGCTACTACTGCAAATTCGTGAAGCATGCCATATTTTTTGGGAGTTCTGGTAGCATAGTGGCTAAGACACTTGCCTGCTAACCAGACAGCTGGCGTTTCAAACCCACCAGCCACTCCTCGGAAGGAAGGTTGGGCAATCCTACTTCCGTAGTGATACTGCCTCAGAAACCCAAGGAGGGGTTGCTATGAGTCGGGGCCGACTCGACGGCACATAACAACAACAACAACTACTGCTGACTGCTCTGAAAGGGATCATAGTAGGAGTTCTTGATAAAGTGGGAGAAAAATGTGGAACAAAACTCAAAATTATAAAAAAGGCCAGGGTTACTGGTCTGATAGAGACTGGTGGAATGCCCATGACTATGGCCTTTAGGTACCCTTCAGGCCTGGAACTGAACTCACCTCCATAGTTCAGCTTTTCAGCCAATCAGTAGATAGGCATATATACAAAGGTGATGGTATGCACTCCTTAGAGTAATCAACCATAGGAGATCAAAAGAGCAGCATTTGCCGAGGGACAAAGCTAAGAAGTCAGGAAGGGATGGGAAAGAAGGAGGTATGGAAACAGTAAATATAAGGAGGAAGTTGGAAGAGTGCTGCTACAATCTGAGGATTGCAATCAATGTCACGGATCAAAATGTGTATGAAATTGTTGAATGGAAAACCAATTTGTTCTGTATACTTTCAACCAAATCACAATAAAAAAATACTTTTTAAAAATAACAAAAATTTATTTTCTCACTGTTCAGGAGGCTAGAAGTCTTAATTTGGGGCATGGCTCTGGGAGCAGGGGACAGATGTCCTCCTGTCTATTTCAACTTCTAGGAGCTGCCAGCAATGCTGAGTGTTCTGGGGCTTGTAGACGTATCTCTGTCATCTGACTTTCTTTTCTTCCTCTGTTGTTTTTACCATTCAGATATGATTAGGTTTAGGACCCACTGTACCCTGGTATGGCCTCATTAATATAACAAAAGAACACCTCTGTTTCCAAGCAAGGTCACATTTATAAGTACAAGGGTTTGGATTTCAAAGCATATTTTTTTGGAACACAATGCAGTCCAAAACAGAGTGAAGCTGTATGCATATGAATCAAGATTGGAGAGAAGCTGGTTAGTTGAAGGAAGTACATAACTGGCTTAAGAGAATGGAGTGATGTGCCAATGTTAGGGTTAGACTAGGGGTTTTGTTCACAGACTTTATGATGCAATTAAAAAATACATTCCTTCTTCTTTTTCCACCCCCCCCCCCTTAAAATTTGTGACTTCATTTTTGGATAACTATTTTGGATACTATGAGATTTTAGTGCTAAAATGGGCTTTATGAATAGATAGATATTCTCAAACATTTTATGCCAGTTATCTCTTATTTTATTGTTGAAATTCCTCTAGACATTAAATTGCTTTAGGTTAGATAACTAGTTGGTGTTAGAACTTGGACTGTATCAGATTTGACTCCTGGACAGAGGTTCTTTTCTACTAAACCAAATTGCATCAAAATAAAGGACAAGAATACAAAGGGAAATGTCTTTTTTTCTCTTCATTGGTTTTGTTAATGCAGAATAGCAAGAGAGCAGGGTTTGTTTAATTCCTTTCTGTAGAGCAAATATGCAGATACTGCTAAGTGGAGATATATTTTCTTAGTTTGAGATGAAAAATAATATAAGAATATTAATGTTCTTTGAAAACTAAAGAAAAAAAAATAGTTTCATTTAAAAAAATATTAAACACTTGACTTGGCTTAAAAGAGCTCTGGTAGTGTAGTGGGTAAGGCATTTGGCTGCTAACCAAAAGGCTGGCAGTTCAAATCCATCAGCTGCTCCATAGGAGGAAGATGAGGCAATCTACTACCATAAAGATTTATAGCCTTGGAAACTCAGTGGGGGGTTGCTACGAGTTGTTGGAATCCACTTGATGGAAGTGTTTTTTTTGTTTTTTTTTTTAACTTGGCTTAGGTTGCACCAAAATTGGATCTACTTCCTTCTAGTTCAAGGTAGAAAGCATAATATGTATTCAACATACATTTGTTTAATGGATGAATAAATTAACTCAAACAATCATTGGAGACCTGGCATGTCAGGCCTTCTGAATTTTATACATTTTAAGATTCAGCTCTTTTCCCACCTCTCTCAAGAAGCCTCTGGAAACTGAAAGTCTTCTTCCTTCTGTATATTCATAACTCAAATTATTTGCTTATTTTTTTACATGCAGTGATTCTTTACAACTCTTTAGTTACATGTCCATAAGCAAGTGTTTACTGTTTGCAGGTTCTAGATTCCCTTGTTGTTGTTGTTGTTGTTATGTGCCATCAAGTCAAACCCGACTCATAGCGACCCCTCCTTGGGTTTCCGAGGCAGTATCACTACGGAAGTAGGATTGCCCAACCTTCCTTCCGAGGAGTGGCTGGTGGGTTTGAACCGCCAGCCGTCTGGTTAGCAGGCAAGTGTCTTAGCCACTATGCTACCAGAACTCCCCTAGATTCCCTTAGGAAAGTCTTAAAATTATTGTCAAATTAAGACAGTAAAAATGCAACTTTCTTTCTTCATAATTACAGGTCTCAAGTGTAGTAGAATTCATTCAAATTTTTTATTTTTCTGTAATAGACAAATTGAGCTCCAAATATTAAGAAGGAGCCATATAAATGACTGGCAATTTTATATGATAAACTTACTAATTTACTATCTAATATATTTTGATGTTGTTGTTGTTGTTATGTGCCGTCATTTTGATAAGACCTTCAATATTCAAGATTCTCTTGACTTAGTAGGGACAATGTTTTATTAAATATTGGTATTTATAAAGTTTATTTTGTTGTATTTGTACTGGTTTCCAAGTTCTCAATGGTAGGGTTCATATATGTATCCTGGTTGGTAGAATGACCGTTTATCGTCTAAGTTATTTGATACAACTGTTGGATTCAAGATGGAAATTAGATCTGCAAGGAAGGTGGAAACCAATGAATTGTTTGTTAATTGAGTAAGGATTAATTTTGAGGGAAAATTGAGACACAATGAAGATATAATATGAGGGAGAGAGACATAAAACTAGTGGTCAAGAGACAATAGTGGAAAATTAGAAAAAATCAGAAAGGGTAAAAAGGCAATCGATGGTTCTTTCTTTCCTTCCTATTATTATTTTAGTAGATTTTATTCTAGCTTGTTCATAATTCGTTAAATCAAACTATATTGAAGTACAAGAAAAAAAAAACCCACACAGTCTGGAGAAGATTGGAGGAGGGCAGTAACTATTATAGTCAATTTTCAAAGGTTTGAAAGATTTCCATTTTGAAATAGGTTTCCCTTTGTTCTGCATGGCCCCAATGAGAATCACTGGATAGAAGTGCTAAGTCACTTTAAATGAAATAAACAGTTCAATAATCAGAAAATTGGATGTTGTTTCTTGGGGGTGAGTTCTTTGACTTAGATATATATCAGCAGAAACTTATTGTTAACTTGGGGTGTTAGTTGTTAAACTGGATAGGGGAGTAGATTTGTTGAAAAGGAAATTAAAGTAGTAAATTCTAAGTTCTCCTTAAAATTCTCATAAATTATGATTCTGTTCTTGGCATCTAATTGACTAATGGTATGACTTCTTATTATGCAGTTTGTAATTGGTCAATTGTTTTAAATACTAGGTGATACCCTATAAATATAACTAATCTTTCCATTTTTTATGATATATAATTGATATTACTTCTAGAATCTGCTTTAAATGGTCACAGATCAACAGGAATCTATGAAAATATAATGTTCAGATTTTAAACGATCATGTTATTGTAGTAGTGTGCCTGGAAAAATAATTCTTGGGATGCCCAAAATTTATATGGAGTTGTAAAACTGAAGTGTGGGCCAAGGGTTAACAACCATGAGTTTTGCCTTTAAATTTAGTCTGAGAAAACTACTTCATTATAAGTACATTCCTACTGCGTAGTGTCCTTCTGATTGATATGCCCAGAGGTACCTTTTCAACAGTCTTTTAAGCACCAATCCTTCATTTTGTTTCTAAAAATGAGATGAACTCCTCCTTCCTAGTTGGGGCATCAATTTTTACCTGCCAATACAGTTTGATGAGCTTGCTTACACACTGCTCCCTTCCTCCACAGAGCCAGAACATGTAGTCAGCAATCATGGCACTCCTAAGGACAAGGACAGAGTTTTCTTTTTTAAACAAATGTATAGGTTTGAAAGAATAGAATAAGAAGTTTTTGCAATGTATAATTTTTACTAGACTTATATTAAGCAAAGCATGAAGCATATTTTAGAATGTAGAAGTTGTTTTGTTTGGAGCTAAACTAATACTGTAGGAGAGAAGCAACAAGTCATTTTTCTTCTGGATGGTTTTCTGTTTGTACAGTATAAGAATAAACAAGAGAATGCTTTCGTTTGGTTACCTCTTATTAAGCTTCAAAACATTTATAATGTATATTTTATGTACTCTGAAATGGCTTCAAACCTAGCATAGAACATGTTGTTAGTTGCTGTCTGACTCATGACGACTCCATGTACATGATAACGAACATTGCCCTGTTCTGCGCCATCTACATGGTCATTGATATTCTGGAGTCCTTTGTTGTTGTCACTGTGTATTTTGAGTATTTCCAACCCTGGCAGCTCATCTTCTACCACTATTATCAGATAATATTCTCTTATGAACCATATGGTTTTCATTGGCTAATGTTTGGAGGTAGATTACCAGGTCTTTCTTCCTAGCCTATCTTAGTCTGGAAGCTTCCCTGAAACCTATTCACTATGGGTAACCCTGCTGGTATTTGAAATATTAGTGGCATAACTTCCAGCATTATAGCAACGCACAAGCCACCACAGTTTGTCAAACTGACAAAGGGTGGTGGATAGCACATGTATATAGATAACTATTATACTGGTATTTAAGCATATCTCAGGCCTTAGCTGAGTTAAAGATTACCCATCTTTGTTTAAATTAGCTTCCTAAAAATTGAAAATAAAAAATCTCCACTTCAACTAACTTTCCCACTCCCTCAATCTTTGTGTCTAATTGAATTGGTTTTGGTATCTAGTCAGTATAACCACTGAATTAGTCTTATTAAGCTGAGGGGATATTAAAAACTATTGTGCAATGGATATTAATTCATTGCTTAGTACCCTTTGGAAAAACAGTTTACTTTTATGACTGTTTCTTTGCTAGGCCTCTATATTTCTTTTCTCTAGAGATTCCAAATCCAATTAAATGTGACTACAAGTAATTCCAAATTGTCACGTTAGCCAATTAAACATATAATAATCCTGTGTACATAATCACTAGTACCAAAAATTTATTTATTGAAGTGGAGCTATCACTGTGTATCCCTGAATGTTTTTCTTATCTTTGCCTGCAGATATGCATTGTTTCTTGACATCATTGTAAATTGAATTAGGAATTTTCCTTCCCTAGTACAGGCTATCTAAGGCACAGCAGCTATAAGCTCACTATAGCACCCTGTTGAAAGAATTAAATGTTTAGATTCTTGCTGAGGACAGACAAAAATAAAGACTTTAAAAATTAACAATGGAAACAAATACCACCATTTGGAGGATTATTCAGCCATATCTATATCTATATCTATATCTATCTATCTATCTATCTATATATATATATAGAGAGAGAGAGAGGAGGGTTAGGTAGTATTGAAAAGAAACTGTTCACTGAGATTTCAAAATAAATAACAATAATCTAAATAATAATAATAACTACTCTTTTAAGACTCTTTTATATCTTCCCAAGTCTTAATTTTATGACAAAATAATGAGAAATAGGAAATTTTCTTTTCTTTAAAAAATTTTAAATTTTCTTTATTGTGGTAAAAATATATACAATAAAACATTCACCAATTCAGCAGCTTCTACATGTATAATTCAGCAGTATTGATTTTTCAAGTTTGCAACTATTATTGCTATCAGAAATAGGAGATTTTGATGTTATGTATATAGGTATGGGGTAGAAAATGCTATAAAAATTATATGGATTAGAGAAAGATGAAAATACATTTGAAACATTTGCATTTTTTTTGCCCCGATTACAATCCCCAACTATGAAAAGCTCTCCTCCCCTCTCCCCTCTTCACTACTCCTTTCCCTGAAGCTTTCTTGTCTATGCACTCCTGTTTGTCTGGCTTTACCTCTATCTGAACACTGCCCCTCTGACAACTTGTGGCTGATTGATCTAAGTGGTGCATTTCCCTAGGGTAGGTTGGTGCATCTCCCTGGGGCAGATACTCTGCTTGTAGATCTTTCTACTTTTGGGCTGAGAGCTAGTCCATGGATGTGATTCCATTTCCAAGCCCAAAGAATAACCAAAGGCCATAGTCTCAGGGGTTCTACCAATCTCTAGCCAACCAGTAATTCTGGTCATTTTTGTGTTTTTGAATTGTGTTCCACAATTTTCCTCCCACTTTAACCAGAATCTCTAAATTTGATCCCTTTCTGAGTGGTTGGCATTGATAGCTGGATACCATCTAGGTCTTCTGGTCTTAGAGCTATGAAGGCTGAGGTCCCTGTGGTCCATCATATCCCTGGACTTATTGTTTGCAAATGACTTTGAATTTCTTCACTCTTCTTTGCTCCAGACAAAGGGAGACCAATAGTGCATCTTAGATGACGGCTTGAAAGTTTTTAAGAGCCCAGTCACTACTCACCAAAAGAGTATGTAGAACATGATCTTTATGTATTATCTTGTGCCAATTGAACATGATGTCCCCTGAGACCATGGTCCGGAGCCCGTAGACCCAGTGATTCTCTCCCTCAGGGTGTTTGGTTGTCTCTGAGAAGCTACTCCAACCTTGTCCTCTGTTACTTCTGTAATGTATGTGGATAATTTTATAGCAGAAGTACAAAGACTATCTTCAGCCAAATCTATCCTTGGTCTTGGGTATATTCCAGTTTGCCAACTCCTACCTGACCTTCTCACCTGTCTATGCATTTACCCATGGCCTAGTGTTTGCTGCCACTGGTAATGCAGTATTGTGCATGTAATAGTATTTGCCTCTGTTATCTATAACATTTGTGTACATTTCTGTATCCTCCTTTTCCCCATTGTCATTGTGCTGGTCATACATTCTTGCCATACTACCCCACCCCTCATCCAAATCAACATGTGGCCCCCAACTAGTTAGAAATAACCCCCTCCCTTCCCTCCCATGCAGGTAACTGAAAAAGGGAATTTCCTTCCCTGTGTAAACCTTTCCTTGAATTTTTATAATCACAGACTCATAAAATATTTGTCCTTCTGTGACTGACATATTTCACTTGGCATAATGTTCTCCAAATTCATCCATGTTGTGAGTTGATTTGTGCATTCTTTATTATTCTTTAATGTTGCATAGTATTCCGTTGTGTTTATGTACTATAGTTTGGTTATACATTCATCTGCCCATTTAGGTGTTTCCATCTCTTTGCTATGGTGAATTTTGATGCGATGAACATAGGTATGAATATGTCTATTCATGTCCTGGCTTTCACTTCTTTAGGATATATTCCTAGTAATGGAATTGCCAGATCAAATAGTATTTCTATTTTCAATTTTTTTTTAAGGAAATGCCATACCATTTTCCACACTGGCTGTACCATTTTATAGTCCCAGTGTATGAGAGTTCCAATCTCTCCACACTCTTGCCATCATTTGTTATTTTCTGTCTTGTTGAACTTTGGTATTATTGCTGGAGTGAGATATATCTCACTGTTGTTGTAAAACATTTGCATTTTGATAGAAACATTTGGAAACATTTTCCTGCCATGACAACCTGAACAAAGAAGTCTATATGACATATAGATGTTTGTGACCTAAGAAATTCACTAATTAAATTCTGAATTTAAGAAATTATTGAAAATGTAAAAATTTCATTCAAAGTACCAAACCAAACCAAACTCATTGCCATCTAGCTGGCTCAGACTCATAGCAACCCCTCCTTGGGTTTCCGAGGCCATATCACTACGGAAGTAGATTGCCCAAACCTTCCTTCTGAGGAGTGGCTGGTGGTTTGAACCACCAGTCTTCTGGTTAGCAGTCAAATGCCTTAGGCACTACAGAATGCCTAAGGAGCTCCTACTCGAAGTACAAGACACCTAAATCTATAAAATAACCCACTGCTGTCAAGGTGATTCTGACTCATAGCGACCCTCTTTGGGTTTCCAAGGTGGTAAATCTTTATGGAAGTAGATTGCTCCATTTTCCTTCTGTGAAGCTATGGGTGGATTTGAACCACCAAACTTCTAGGTAATGGTGAGTTTCCTTAGGCACTGCACCACCTGAATCTATAGACTTTGTGAATTCGTAGGTGACAAATGGGTTCAAAACTTTCATTTCTCCTACCGTAGGCATGGTTCAAAAGATACTGGTTGCCAAGGACAACAGCCACTAGTTAAAAGAAGGATTGCCAATTTTTTCATATAAAGGGTCAGATAGTAAATGCAGTCTCTGCTGTGACTACTTAAATCTACTTTGTTAAAGCAGCTACAGATAACCTGTAAACAAAAGAGTTGGCTGCATTCCAATAAGACTTTATTTTAAACAACACATGGTATGCTAGAGTTAGAAGAGTTTGTTGAATGTTGAGTTAAATAAATTATTAGGTTGAGTGACTTACGGGGAGTATTAGTATATCAGTTAGCCCTTAATCACATGCCTAGAAGCTCTGGTGGGACAGTGGTTAAAACATTTGGCTGCTAACCAAAAGATGAGTAGTTTGAATCCACTAGCCTCTTGCAGGAGAAAAATGAGGAAGTATGTTTTGGTATAGATCTACAGCTTTGAAAACCTTATGGGGGCAGTTCTACTCTGTCCTATAGGGTTACTACAAGTGGAAATTGACTCCTGGGCTGTGGGTTTTTGTTGTTGTTGTTGTTGTTGTTGTTAATCAGATGCCAGCTTCCATACATTTCAGTCCCAGGTCCCACTAGATAATTTCAGTCCATTGTGTTCTCTTCAGGGACAACGCAACACATTGCACCAAAATTACTGTAAAGTGTTTGAAAGAAACTTTAGAATTTCAAAACATGCAGAAAAAAAAAGTAAAAGAATAATTCTGGATTAAAGACACAGTGGTTTGAGTTCAGTAAAAGCTAAACTGAAAGATTTACTATAATGTTAGTGATTGCCATCCTTGGATTGGAATAATTGTGAGAG